AGTTAGTGACGTGACAAGGCCCTATTAATTGACATTTATGTTTTGTTTTGAAATTCGGAGGACCCCTAGATGGGTTGTTCCGACAGGGTATGATGTTAATGCATGCTAATGCATGTTAACAGCGTTTTATGCGTACTAATGCATGTTAATTGTAGTTTAATATTACATTTTAAAGTGTTTTCTTTTAGTTTGTATGTTAGTCATGTTTCATATATAGAAGTGGGTTTTCTTCCTGTTTTAGTTTCTGTTAGGCATAGTTGGCCTGACTTAATTTGATCAAAATACTGAGTCCCTGAGCTCGAATATAAAATGAGCTCATTTTCTTCTTGTACTCGACTTTATCTAAAGAAATAAAGTATAGAAAATTCCCTAAAGACCTACATTGTTGATTTTGAATTTACTTTGAAGCTCTTTAGTACCTTTGGTTTACTGCTTGGCTTATATCTCGATTCTGAAATTATTTGAAGTTCGATCTTGTCCATTGCAATATGGCAATATGTAGGCCGGTTTTTTGTAAGTATGTCACGAACAAATAAGTCTTAAATTGTCGCAATTTCAGTCCTATTTCGTTCCCTTCGACGCAATTCTAGTTAATGCAAGTCCAAAGTAACTGAATCATTTCAACTATTATCATCATTACTACTGCTACTACTATTCAAATTGACAATACCCTAGGATAGTTGAATTTATTGAAAGCATTTAGCCAATCACCAATGTACTCATGATTAATAAATAATTAGTTCGGCAACAAATCAATCCTTTCTCTTTGGCGGCGAACTCCGGCGACGAATTCTGAGATGACCAAACTTTCCGGCACCTGGAGATGATCCCTCGAAAAGTATTGGTAGATAACCAGTGGCACCTTTGTACTTCTGCTGTATCTGCATATATTCAAGTCGATAAATATGAATAATAATATTCAGGATGATGATGATATCTACTATATTGAATAAAAGAGTTCTGTTTTTCATTCACAACATCCAGATATCTGTATATTATTCAAGGCAGTCCATTCACAACATCCACATATATTCTCAGCAACTAATGTTTATTTGAACAATATATATTTATCTCTTTATTTATTTTTTACAAAATTAAATTACCTGAAGAATCTGCTCGCTGCTTCTCAAGCAATTCCTGCCGATTACGCATACAGTCCCACCCGAACCTCCGCCCGTAATTTTGGCACCATACAAAGTCCCTTCAGACAACCTCGAGATTTTGCTATGCTGCATTTCCTGCACCAGCTGGACCAGCCTGTCTGTCCCATCCGACCCAAGCCCACAAGCACTGTAACTATAGTGGCACTGTGAAGAAAAAATAAAAAATAAAAAATTATCACCAACATAATTCCCATCAATTTTCATTTAAGTAAACGAAACTTATTCTCACCTGATACATCAATTCTCCTAGAGCGGTGAATTGCTCGTCTGAAGTTGCCGATGTGAGTAGCGCTTTGAAGGCCTGCAGTAATATATTTTAATATCGATAAATATAAAATGATGCATATGTGAACTGTAAGATTTTGGTATGGAATTATGTTTCAG